TTTTGAGAACGCAATATATAGAATTTCCTTAAGTTGAACCAATCCAACATGAAATTCATATATATATTCTTGACTAAAGATGATTAAGGTCTCAATCTAAGCCTTTAGAACTGAAATGAAGTATATCCTCTCCCTTAATTATAGCAAAACAACTTTTTCAATCCCTGCAGCCTCACGAATTGAAACTTTTGTTTTCTATAATTAACATTGCTAACTTGCAACACTAACAATAATTACTAACATGATGATTATTAGCATAACACTTATGCTCCCACTAGCTTTGACATGTACTCAGAAATCAGCTGGACTTCTAGAAATCAATACTTTATTGACTTTCTTACCAAAGTTCAGATTTCTGATACGAGATGCTTTGATAAAACTTTATCAAATCATACACCTTTCCTTAGATAGCATGCATGTGTGTCTAAACAATTTCAGAACTATGAAAAGGGATGCCGTAATCATAGTCTCAATTGTTTAGACCTTTTTCCATCTGCTTCAAATCTACTTGGTGGAAGTGTTTCCTCACCATCATTTTCATGAATCGGAGAGAAACCTTATGACCCTTAGATTTTATGGTGTATGTGTTCTTATCCATGTGAATCGTCAAAACCATAGTCACAAGACAAGGATAATGACAAATCCAAACTCATATGGACTGAACTTATGCAATCTTAACTTCTTGCCACATGGCAGTACAGGGCCTGCCATTGCTTCCAAGTTGTTATGCAACCAATTGAGAACTTTCAGAACTCCTATGCAAAGCCAACTTTAACTGGAATGGGCACAGAATATGTCAACACGATAGGTTATAAACCTCAAGTCGTGTGCTAGTGAAGAACCTCAGGTTTTATTCTTGATTAGTTCTTGAAATTCTTTTTAGGATCTTTAAGACTCCCACTGTCCTCTTGACATATAAGACTATCTTGCCAAATATTCAAGAGATAGTGCGGATTCTTTATCAAGACAAACACTTCACACAATTGGCCTTAGTTGGTCTTTGTTTTATCCAAAACATCACAACTTACCAATTTCAAATGTACAAGAGTAGGACACTTTTACTCTTACATTTGACAAGTGTTTTAAACCTTTCTTTAAGATATGTCACTCAAGTTACAATCTTGGAGTATGACTCTAAGAATTGTTTTGGAACGAAGTATGACTCATCTTTTTGATTTAACCATTTCAACAATTCATGACTCCTCTTCTTAGTCATAAGAATGCACTAAGATGACTTTAGAGGACCAATTGTGATATGGTATCTTAATCATTAAGATGATCATAAACATGATACTAAAGTACTCTCCCATCTTTTCAGATTTGAGAAACTTTTATCTTTCTGCCATACTTTGATTCTTCTTATTCGTTCTGTCTCACATTGAAACTTCTCCAATGCTACAGACTTATACTTAAACTTATAAGTATAACCATATTTACTGAACTTAAGTAAATCATGACGAATAGTCTTCTTGATCTTTTGTGGTGGACTTGACCAGTGCACAAGAATGTGTACTCGATCCCTTAGTCCTTTCCTTATTCACATAAGGAATTAGTCTTAATTTTCCAAGCTGAAAGTTCTCATTCATCATACTATACAACTTGCATGATTCCAAGTTTCGGTCCAATTGAACCTTGGGTGATGAGAATCTTTCCTTATTTGGTAATATTAGACACTACCACAACCGAAAGAATCAAATCCATTTTTCCAATATTGCTATCAATGGAATCTTATAAGCAACAACTTTTCACAAATGCCATTGTAAGGATACTTAAAATAAATAAAATCAAAACCTTTTTCTTTTATTTTAAAACTTTGCGGAAAAACTTATCCTTACAATCCATATGAAAACCTTGTTGTTATCTATTCCTAAGCAATATAAATATCATAACTCTTAAGTAATAGCCCAAAATTCTGATCACCGAACCATGCGATTGAAATCCATCTTCGCGATCAGAATCAGCATGTACTTAATAGAGTTAGACAATGGACTTTACCTGAAGTAGAGCCAAACTTATTGACTTTAACATCCTTAGGTAAATTTGGCAGCTTCGTAACCAATGCCCCTTCCTTTGGCAATAGTTACCTATGGACCCTTGATAATGGGACTATCTCAGACTTCGCCTCTCTCTTTACCATTGGGTCAACCGAGTTGACTATGGCCGATCCCTTTCCATTGGGAAGAGAGAGCTTTACTGGATATCCAATGTCATCATTGTCAATGTCCATAGCGTTTTAGGAAGTTGATCTTAGCAAATAGATAAGATCATTAAGGGTCTTGTCTTAGTCTGTTTCATAGGATTCCCAAAAGAACTCACTATGTGACTTAGAAAGTAGTTGAGCCACCAACTTTCTCAAGACTTTGACACCCAACTCTCCCGGCTTGTCAATATGTGACTACATCTCCAAGATGTGATCACACCTAGACCTTGCCTTGCCAATAGGGCTTGAGTGACCTTAAACTTTTTAGGAACTTGTGGGTTAGGGAGAATAATTGGAGGAGGTGAAAGAAGTATGATATCCATGGGACATCATCTTCATTTAGGAAAGCTTGTTTCAAGAGATTTGGGAAGATCATAAATGTCTAGACCAGACATCTTTTTGGGAGATATTCAAGATAGTTGATTTAAAGTCCTTAATATGACACCCAATATGAAATATTAAGGCTAGGACCCAACAAACTATTTTATAACTTAGAAGAGGGATGCCGTAATCCAAGCTATAAAATATTTGAAGGTAGGTGAATGACGATTCACCAATTTCCACCATGAAAAACGAAATAATTTATTAGGTTTTAATTGGATTTGAAAGTCCTAGATCTTTGAGATTCATTGAACTGTTCAAAGGCATGTTTCAATCTCGAGTGTGCCCTTCAGGTTTTGTGACTGGGATGCCGAGGATCACAAAACAAGGTGTGAATAACCATGCAAATATACTTGGTACCCTTAATATTTACCCCTTAATCAGTGTGCCGGTTAACCACACACGCTCCACCGATACTATGATAAATATTAAGTTACCCTTTGCCTACCTTGTTAAGTCCAGGTTAGTGTGCCGGTTAACCACACACGCTCCACTAACGACTTAAGCAAAGTGCAAAGTGTAATTTCATGGGTTAGCACCAAATTCACATTTTCCTAAGTAACTAAGATTGGGTATTAATAAGAGTTTAGTTACTTAGTATTTATCATTAATACTTTTAATGAAAGGAGAATTATAGTCCTTGTCCTACCCGTTCGGCTAACGACCCTCCACCAGTCAAGGAAGCGGTGGGTGAGAGTGGACACCCATTAAACTGCCATTTTATAGGCAGTAACCTTATACCCCCCTTATAGACCGACTTCGTGAATGAGGCCTACTAACGGTAAGACTGACTTTACTCTTATACATATATATAAATATTATTAACTTATAATATTATAAAGTATAAGGGTTGAATTTTAACTTTTAAAATTCTAAGGGCTAACTTGGAATTAAAGTATTCATAAGTGAAAACTTTTCAAATTCCAAAACTTGAGGGCAAGTTTTGAAACTATTCAAAACTAATTAATTCCATAACTTATGAGTTTAAAGTAGTTTTAATTAAAAAAAAAAACTCTTCAAGTTCCATAACTTGAGGACAAGTTATGGAAGACTTTAAACTAATTAATAAAAAAAATAACTTTTTTTTATTGTAACTTATGAACTAATTAAGGTTACACTTTTTTTTTTAATTTAATGAAGAGACTCTTGAACCTCCATAACTTGAGGACAAGTTATGGAGTCATAAAACCATTTAATTAGAACTAGACTCTTCATTTTGTAACCTTTGCCAACTTTTATGAGTTTTATGATTCTTAAATGTGACTTTTCATATAACTTGAGGACAAGTTACAAAAACACACTTTGGAATCAACTCTTAGATTAAAATGGATTGAAAACAACTATTTCACACAACTTTTCTATTAATCTAAGAACCTCATAAGAACAAGATAATTCAAATCATCAATCTTCAAGAAATTAGCATGAACATACAAGCTAATACAAATCTTGAAATTATGACAATTATCTTAGAAATTGGATTAGCATGAACATTACCACATCAAAAACAAGTTTATAAGTCCAAAAACATCTTAGGGTAATGTTCCTAGTCCAATTCCAGCCAAAACAATCGAATATATGCATCCAACTCGATTTTTCAGCTACTTTTGCAAGTATAACAAGAAAACAAGCCTAGGCTCTGATACCACTGTTGGGTTTTGAGCATTCTAACACTCCTAAGTGTACATGCAACCCTAAATACCTTGGATCTATGTTTTCTCTATTATACATACAATTATGAACATCCAAGGTATTATCCTAATCTAGCATACAAAATAATAAATATAACAAGATAGAATACATACCTCTTTGATGTAGAATGTCTTCATGAAGCTTGAGTGCCTAGTGCCCCAAGTGTGACACCTCAAATGGTTCACACAACACCAAATACACTTGGAATAACTTGAGAGAAACTTGAACACTCCTTGAAATCGTCTAGCCCTCACACTCACACATTAGTGCACGATTTCTTGAGCCATGGGATTATTTTATATGGTGGCTATTAGGGTTACACCATGTAACTCATAACTTTACCCATTCCTTATGCTCCATGGATTTTAACCTCCATGGAGTATCCATGGGTCACCCCATGGACTTAGTCCAACATAAGGAATCTTGGATCACAAGCCCACATATATAAGAATGAATGATTTACACAATCAACCCATATATTTAATTAGTCTCCTTTTGATCACTTAATTAATTCCAAATTAATTCTTGATCAATACTAATTAAATAACCTTATTAATATATTAGAACTTATAATATATTAACCAACCTTAAGTGTTATTTCTCTCATTATAGTCTATCCAAATGCATGATGCCATGCAACCCAAATGGACCATGCCGGGTCGGGTCAAGTCTTACCAATTATAGTTATGGACTTAGACATTAATCCAACAGTCTCCCACTAAATGAGAGAATGAGAGAAAGCAATACTACAACCCCTGGTCAACCAAATGTCCCAAGTCAACCTTCATGCTCTAACATAGTGAGGAAGAGTCCAAGAAAACATAACACATTAAGGATAAGTCCAAGAAAACATCAGCAACAGGCAGGTTCTAAAAGATTTAGGAAAAATAGTATTGATGTACCTAGGAAGAAGTTGTGCACAAGGAGAGGTGGTGGGAGGATTGGTTCTGCAAAAACTGGGAATAATACTCCAACTATAGGTACTCAAGAGAGTGTGGTTCAACAAGTTCCAGTTGTTGATGAGGGTGAAAATGTGATGGGTGAAAATGTCATGCAAGAAGGTTATAATGTGGGTCAAAGTGTGGTTCAACAAGTTCCAGTTGTAGAAGTTCCTACTGTTGTAGAAGAAGGTGTTGTGCAGGAAGAAGGTGTTGTGTAGGAAGTTCCAGTAATTCATATTCAGGATGGTCATATGATGCAAGAAGGAGGAACTAGTCAAACAAGTGTGATGGAAGGTAGTGACACTTTTGGGCAAGTAGGATCCAATATTGGTTGGAAGCTTAAATCAATAAATGATGAAATTGAACAAGGTATTGATGCAATTTTACAAGAGGTTAACTTCACAAACAAAACAAAGTCCAGTCCACTAAATGGTGACAATGAGGTGGAAGATAATGATGTTATTGAGTTTACTGAGGGCAAAGAGGATGATATTCTCCCAGAGAAGATACAAATAGGACCTGAAGGCATTGCTAATATGCTAGAAGCTGGTTATAGCATGACAGAAATAGAAGCTATGCCAGGGTTACAAGTGGAATTGGATGATTCCCCACCAGTTGAACCGGTAAGACCTATTATCTTTTATTAATTAACGATTTTTCTTGTGATTTTTGTGAACTAATTCTATCTTTTTACACTAGGATGTAAATGATTTCATTGATGGTCATCATTCTGATGATGATGTTGGTCTGGATGGTGGAGCTGAAGGTGCTGGAGATGAAGCTATTGGTGATGGTGATGGAGAAGTTCATGGTGTTGGACCTGATCATGGTGCTGGATATGAAGCTGTTGGTGATGGTGATGAAGAAGGTCATGGTGGTGGAGATGTTAATGATGGTGATGGACCTGAAGGTGATGCTGATGGACCTGAAGGTGGTGTTGAAGAATTGGGTGATGATGAGGAAAATCAGGGTGGTGATGAAGGACATGAGGTTGTCCCAATGGTTAGGAGAACAAGGAAAACATCTGAGAGGATTACCAAGATAAAGCTAAGGAAGGGTGTCTATGAAAAAGATGGTGGTGGTTCTTCTTCTGTAAAGCCAATCAACTTGGAGTAGTTTGTTAGCAAGAAGGGGGATGGGGGTGTAGTGGGAATGGTATAGGTTGCCACTTTTGTAAACTTTGTTTTTTGGCATTTTGATTGCAGCATGCATCCAATTGTTATCATTTAGGTTGCCTTTTTTGTGCATTGTTTAGGCATTTTGGTACAAATGGATGGCTGCTACATATTGGTAGTATGTAATTAAACTATATGTAATGGATACACCCCCTTTTATATTATGTTCAATCTTTTAGAATTGTTACCATTCACCAATTGTTTCTGCAAATTCATACCAATTACCATTTTAATTCAATTACCATTTTAATTAAACTTGTACTACAAATTCATACCAACTACAAATTCATACCAATTACACTTGTAATGGATACATATTGGTAGTATGTAATTTACCATGTACTACAAATTCCAATTGTTACCATTCAACAACTTCTACTCCAAATTCATACCACTTACCATTTTTTATACTCCAAATTCCATTTACTGAAATTAATCATCCAACATTGCAATTAACATCCATTTACTGCAATACCATTTTATGCAATATACTTACAAAACAAACCAAATTGTACTCCGGTTAACATCTATACATTACAAATTAACATCCATACATTGCAATTAGCATCCATACATTACAAATTACAATCCTAACATTACATATACCTACCAAAGTATTAAATACCATCAAAAGCTACATATTTCATACCATCAAAAACTACATATTTCAAGATCACAATACTAGTGGCATAACAACCAACTGTCATTAAATCTTGTATACTACTAGAACAAGCATGAATAATATAGCCCCTAACAAAACAACAACCATCTGCATTAATGTCATCATTTGTCGTTGCTCTATAATCCGATTTGACTCTAGCATCATATCTTGTTTTTGAACTCCTTCATCGTCAACCCATCTGAAAACCCACAACCTCCTTCCCCCTACATAATTTGGTCAGTGCATAATACCCTTACTGCAATCCTACTAAAGAAAAGGGAAAATGATTTTTACCTTATAATTAGGGCACCCCCAAAATTTCTTGCCTGGATTTTCTGGTGTGCGTGAAACAAACACAGGGCATAAATCTTCACACCAACACTTCACTTCGATCTTCTTCTTGAATCGTGAATTCACATTCGAGCTTGATTTTGCAGAAGATGTTGGCATTTTGCGTGGGGGAATACTGCGGTGCGAGAGGATGCAAGAAACAAGTAGGGGTGGCAATCTTCAACCCAACCCGTAACCCGACACTGACCCAACACGAAAATAAACGGGTTTGGGTTGAGATTTTTGACCCGCCAACCCGCCAACCCGTTTATTTAATGGGTTGGGTTGGGTTACCTGTTTTGGTTCGCGGGTCAACCCGCCAACCCGATTATATAGATATATATATATATATATATATATATATATATAATGTTTAAAAAATATATTTAATTATTTATCAGTTTTGAATATTTGATTATCGTTTAATCGTTTTCCGAATTCCAAAACTGCAAAACATCTTCGAGTCGACTTATCGTGCCTTAGCCCCTAAGAAGCCCCTAATCAAAAATAAATTCAGTCTTCAGTCTCCAAACTCACGACTCCGTGTCTCCCGTCTCCCTCGATTGAGGCATCGAGTCATCGACTGTCGCAGTGTCGCACGCACAACACTCATCTTCTCGTCCTCCGGCTGTCGCACACCACTCGTCGTCGTCACTCCTTTTTATGACTTTATGTTGAATATTTAAGACTTTATGACTTTATTTTATTTGTATTTTTTAATTTCATTTTAAAATGTGTTGCTGATTAAATGGGTTATACGGGTTGGGTTCGACCCACTAACCCAGGAACCTATGAACCCATATACTTATACGGGTTATATGGGTTGGGTTGGGTTGGGTTGATGTTTTCAACCCGCCAACCCATGACCCGCCAACCCACCAACCCATATATTATATGGGTTGGGTTGGGTCAATGTATTCTGACCCGTTAACCCGCGAACCCGTGACCCGCCAATCCGAACCCAACCCAATTGCCAGGCCTAGAAACAAGGGGGGAAGGGTTATGTGGGAGAGGGTTATAAAATGGGGCCCATGTTGTTTGACATGTCACCTAAAGTGCCAAATCAGCACATGGGTAACCGACTACTAAGGGTCCAACCTGTTAAATGAGATGATACATTTAGTGAAAGTATCCGACTTTAATACCCCAAAAACTCATCCAAGGGTAAAACCGACATTTTTTTGAAAACTTAAGGGCTTTTATGACAATTTCCCTATGTTTTAAAGATGATTTCTAAACACATGCACTAAAGAAAACCATTAATTGTTAATCATGCTAGTAATTTAGGTAGGAGTAGTTTTTATTCATTTAATTATTTATTATATGAATCTTAAAATGTTGAGTTTCCGAGCATGAACTATGTGTTTAGAACGGTTTACATACACAGATTCACTACTCTACTTCTAAATCTAAAATCTTTTGTTTACAACGGGACTTGGACCCTTAATCTTTGGCTGAAGGACACCTATCCGTAAATCATGAAACCGCTAGACCAAATGCCCATTGATGAATTATGCGTTGAAATTGCTTCAGATTATACATCTTTTATTTACAATTTGTGTATTGTTGATGCATAATTTTTACAAAATCTTGATATTTTGGGTTCATTACCTGTTATGCTATAGTTTTATTTTTTTAATAAAAATTGAAAAAAAAGTGCATTAATTTACAAATTTTGAATTTTAGCTTGTGAAAACAACATATAAGAGGTAAGTTTATTTGAGAAAGAATTTTTTTTTCCGAGAATGATTCAAGGTCACCCAACAGTCATAACTCTTATATAAATATGAAACACCACCATCTGTTTTTTCCTCCACCCACCCCAACCTCTTTTTTCCTCCACCCACCCCCACCTCCATAACTGTCACCGCCACCACCTCTATTTTCTTCCATCACCCCCACCTCCACAATTGCTACGTGTCTTAGGCCTTGTTTGGTAGCCTCTTAATTGGAAAATTAAGAGGCACTCTCTTAATTTTTAAGATCCAGACTGTTTGGTTACATCTGAATTTAAGCCTCTTAAGTTTTAAAATGCCTCTTAACTTTTCAGATCTTGGTATGTGTCTGAATTAAAAAAAAGGACGCGCGTTCCTTTTTTGCCCTGAACCCTTTCCCTCTTCTCTTTCTTTCACAGCCGACCCCTCCTTCCCCTACATCTCCAATCGCACGTTTGCAACCCTCCGACGTCAGCCGTATGCCTCCGTCAGATATGCAAAGCCGCTGTCGTCGCCGGATTTGTCGCCGCCTCCGACGACTTCGTTTATGCCACCTTCGTCTCCGGGTCCTTCTGCTGCGCCCTCTGCATCTTCTACACATCTTCTACAGGTAAAGTTTTAGTTTGCCCTAATATCTCACTTCTTTCCATATTCTCTTTCTTTCACATACGTCGACACTCCTTCCCACTGCATCTCCGATTCCGCCATCCTCTCCACCACTAGTTGGCCACCTTCTCCCCCGGCGCTGCCATCTCCGCTGGCAGCGAACCCCCCAGTCCACATATGTATCCCAGCAACAAAAGAAACCGAACAGGGGAATCACAGGTGAGGGAGTAAGTTAATGGTCAATTTTTTTGTGTTTTTTTTCTTAGGTGATTTGTTTTTGTCGGTATAGGCTGTGGTGATGGTGGTAAAATGTAGGAATGGTGTTTGTGTGGGTGGTGTTCGGTGGTTCAGGAAAGAGTGAAGGATGGCTATGGTGGTTGTGTTGGTTATGGTGGCTGGATAGTGGTTGATGGTGGGTTGTTTCTTATTTGCTTCAAGTCAAAATTGTTACTTTTCTGTATGGAAACAAGCACAAGATGAAGCTGGAAAAAGTTGTGCATTCTAGCACCACCTATTGTCAACGAGAATCATCACACCATTCATTGGTTTAATTCAAATAATGCTGAACGGAAACACAACTGATGTTCTGATGCTGTAAACAAAGATGGTTGCTAATCATAGATGTTATTTTCTTGCAGCTTGTAGGATCAATGAAAGCTGATGTTCTGATGTTGTAAACAAAATGGAACATTTGTAATCCTTCTGACGTTTTTGATTTTTTTTTCTTGTTGCTGAAAGATGATGTTAGATAAAACAATTTTATAAAAATTTGCTCATTATGTATGAATAACAAATGAATTCGTTAATTTTAATCTTGATTTGTTGATTAATTGTTGGTAAAATGTGAAGTTTGAACCTTTTTCATTTGGATTTGTGTTTTAATTTTGATTTTGTAAGGTGTTTATATATATTTTTTATAATTGTTCAAGAAGTTGATGTAGTTATTTTATAAACCGAAATTTTACATTCAACAAAAAAGAATACAGAAGGGTAAAATTGTCATTTTATAATTCAGCACAGCAATTCAGAGGTTACAACCAAACAACATGTTAACAATTAAGATCTTAAAAATTCAGACCCTCTTAAAAATTCAGACATCTTAAAAATTCAGATCTTAAAAGTTCAGATTCTGCCAAACAGCCCCTTACATGCCACACTTTCCATTTTGAACATTTGAATGTAATTTACTCTTACAGATATAACCTTTCTCTCACCCCTCACAAATATTAAATATCTTCATCTCATACCCACACACATCAATTATTTGTGAGCATGAGTTGAAAATGAATAGAAAATTACATTTTGTAATCGTGGATTACTTGTTAAGGTACTAACCTAATGGACGACAACCAATCAGAGGTTTTGGTTTTGTTCAAAACCTAAGTCAAGGTGCCCCTTCAGAGGCTGTCTCGGCGCACTCATGTGCTCTAGATCCATGATAATCATACTAGTTTTATTGAGGGTAAGAAATGTAACCGAAACCACTATTTAAGATTCAATGAAGGAGGCAACGAAGCATAGTGAAACACCCATTTTTTGGTTTTTAAGTATAAAAACCACCTGAATCACATTTTAAAATAATTGAACTTTATTTGGGGAAATCCCAAAAGTCTTTAAGTTTATCAAAAA